GGGCAGAGCCCTGACCCCACCAACCTGCAGGCAGCCCTCCCCATCTCTGAGACAGAGAAGGCAGCAGTCAGGACCTGGAAACCTGCCCTCCCCGCCCTCCCCTAGGCCAGCGTCAGCCTCTGTTCTGGTTCTGTACTTTCATGAGCTCATGAAAAATTCATCCGCCCAAACCTCAGCTCACACACCGCAAAAACACTCCCAGCTCACTCCTAGGGGGCCTGCCTTTGAAGGTTCGGGGCTCTTTTGGCTCTTGATGTGAGCAGTGAGGTCGGTGGGGATGTGAGGGTGAGTGTGGGTGAGTGGGTGCACATGATGGGTGTATTTGAACTGTGTATACATCGTGACCCATATAGACTCAATGTGAGATGGGCTGGGACCTCAGCACCCAACAGAAGGAAAGAGGGTGAAATGAAGTCTTCCCAGGCCCAGGGTCATCCTAGACCCTAATGGCTGGGAAGATGGGGCTCCTAACTGTCTTGTGCTACTGAGAGGAACCAATGCTGTGGGTCCAATGTCCTTAGCCTCTGTTTCAAAGCAGAGTGGGCAGACAGGACCTCCAGTAGCGTGGTGTATTTGTATGCCAATGGCACAGTGCATACATGTGCGTGTATGTGTGTGTGCATGTGTGCCACATAATATTGCAGAAGTCAGAAGGTAGGCTTAGGGAACACCTACATATTACGTAGCTCACCCCTGGATCCATCCGCTCCTGGAGGTAACCTTCCCAAACTCCCTCTACGAACTCCGTGGGTCCTGTGCTGGGGGAAGGCCCACCCGAGGGCCCACCTCTCACACTGTGAAAGTGATTGTAGAGGAAGCAGTCCAAGAGGCCTGGCAATGAAAAGTTGGCAAAGGTGATTTTTCTGGCCCCCTGTTTTCTGTGACTTGTTGAAGAGAAATATTACCCCTGTTCCTACGGCTGTTCTCCGGAGCCATAGGAGAGCGTGAAGTTATGAAATTGAGGGCACCTTCACTGAGCAATCGATTAGCAGCTGAGAGAGCTTGTGAATTGGCTGTCTGGACATTTCCAGTAATAAATTGTGAAATAGTCCATGAATAAGTAGTTGGCGGAGTTCAGAATTACCCCCTAGGAAATGTTGCAGGTCTACAGACACATTACTAAGGCGAGCACCATTTTAATGCTCTGGGCTTTGGCTGTTAAATATGTATGCCATCCGCAAAGCACTTCCCGAAATTAATGGCATTTTACAGCTGCTCCGAAGGCAGCGGATTTATATGGAGATGTATAGATTCAGGGTCTGCAGTGGCTTCACAAATGAAGTGCTAATTTTAGAGGCTAGGGCCAGGGAGGGGCATGGAGAGGAGGTCAGCAAGGGAGCTAACTCAGGGACCTTTCTCTAAATGGTTTTCCCGCTGCCCACCATGATATTTAGCCTTTGGTGACATTGGGCGTGATTCGTAGGTAGGAAAGGTCACTGCACTTAACAGGCCAATCAGCACACAAGAAGAAGATGATATTAATGCCAATAATAGTAATAATAATAATGGTAGATAACATTCATTGAAGGAGTCCTGGTGGGGCAATGGTTAGGCACTGGGTTGTTTATCAAAGGTTGGCAGTTCGAAGCTACCCAACAGGTCTGAAAAATCATAAACTATGGGGTAGTTCTGGGGTGGCTCTGTAGGATCAGCACTGGACTACAAACTATAAGATCGGCAGTTCAAACCCATCAGCTGCTCCTCAGAAACCCTAAACAGGATCGCTGTGACTCAGAACTGACTCAATGGCACTTAACAAGTTCTGATCTGACACATAGGGTCACTGTGAGTTGAAAAAACTTAATGGCAGGCCTGGTGTGGCGTTGTGGGTTAATGCGCTGGACTACAAAGCCTGTTTGAACCGCAAAGTCGGCAGTTCAAGCTCACCAGCCACTCCTCAGAAACCCTATAAAGGGTCGCTATGGGTCAGAACTGATTCAACAGCACTTAACGACGACAACAGCAACATTTATTGCTGTTATACTTTGGCAGGTCCTGTTCTAAATGCTTTCATGGCTGACTCATTTCATTCTCAAGCATCCCTCGAAGATAGTCTATCATTCCCATTTTATGGAAGAAAGTGGATTTTGTCTAGGTATCCACATGTGGTTGATGATACCCCTAGAGGGAAAATGGTGCCTTAACAATTCTCTTTGAATTAAAGTGAGGGCTACCAAGTGCAGCTACGCATCTTGTTCATGGTGCAAGAGCATCCTAAATAAAGGATGAGTTGGGACGGAAATTCCACCCATGCCTGCTTGATAAGCCCTGCCCCAGGATGCAGGGATATGGTGCAATTGCTGCCCAGAGACTTATTTGCACGAAGGTAGAGTCAAAGTCCTCTTTCTTCCAGGTAGTCTCAGCAGCTTTTCCAGGCCCCACCTGGACTCCTCTCTGTTCCCTTGTTGAGCTGCCTACTTGCTTAGAAGATGGAGATGGGGATGTTAAGATTGAACATGGAGTCTAGCCAAAGGATCCAGTTTTCCACCCAATTAGACTGAAAAGTGATTTTCTCAGAATCCCTGGAGAGTCGGGAAGCCCTTGAGATTCAAACATTCTCCAGCTCTTTCTCTGAAACCTCCCAAAGGACTGCTGAAAATCTGAAGCAACTCAATCATGGGGTGGGATGGCATTTTGAGATGTAACATTGCTGGAGAACCATGGCCAGAGACTCAAAATAGCTTGCCACTTGGGGAGCCTGGCAGGACACAGCTGGTGGGTGTCTTGGCAGGACTTGCCAGTCCCGCAAGGACTCCTGATGAGGATCTTTGCTGGAGTCTTCCATGGATCACCTCACCCCCAAGGTCTATGGTGCAAAGGCAATGGCTCTGCCAGTTGAGAGAATGACGAGATGCCTCCATGATGCTGTTGTGCTCTTTAGTGGACATGGCTCCCAGTATGCATGTGTTCTGTCAGCTGATGATTGTCACCCATTACTAGAGTCGTTCTGATGCTGAAAGGGTGGCGATTTAGCTTTGAGGAAAGCTGACTGACAGAAAGAGAATGAGGGGCTGAAGAGGTCAGACGAGTTGATAGAAGACTAGAGTTGTTGAGGAGCAGGTGCTGGTTGACCACTCTTGGAACTTGGCCTTCATTTGGTGTCTAAAAGAACAGAGTGACTCAGGAACCATGTTTTAGCTAGGGCTACCAATGTGTTCATTCCAATTTGACCCCCTGCTGAAAGTTTACATTTCCGCCTCAGAAATACTGAATCAGAATCTAAATGTTAACAAGATCCCCAGGTGATTCTTATGTTTACATGAGACTCTTGTTAGAATGTAGAATCTGATTCAGTATATCTGAGTATTATCTGGGGTGGAAAGGCAACTTCTCAGCAGGGAGTTAAAGCAGAATGAACTGGTTAGAAATCCTGGGTTTAGCTAGTGCAGTTGTAACAGAAGGACCTCTGGTAGTGCAGTCGGCGAAGCACTGGGCTGTTAAATGCACAGTCTCAAAAACCCTATGTAAGGTCTCTACGAGTCGAAATGGACTTGATGGCAGTGGATTTGGGTTTGATTTGGTTGTAACAGAAGGGGTCCTGGTGGCATAGTGGGTTAAGTATTCGGCTGCTAACTAAAAGGATGGCAGTTCAAAGCCACCAACTGCTCCATGGGAGGAAGTTGAGTCTGCCTGCTTCTGTAAAGATTTAGTCTCAGAAACCCACAACAGCAGTGCTCCTCTGTCCTATGGGCTTTGGGCTGGAACTGGGCTTATAAATAAAACTGGGTGGATAGAGCAAACAGAACATGGAGTTGCATGTTAGTCTGGATTCTAGGATGGATTCTGGATTTTCCAACATGGGAACCCACAGTTCCTTACATGTGTATCTCAAACTGGACTAGGGCAGTCCCTTCTTCCCACTGGTTTTCCTGCCCTTTCTCTCAGTTATTCTTCCCTGTCTCCTCTCCCAATTTTTCTTTGCAAGGGTTTCTAGGGGTATGTTTCTAAATGAAAAACCAGAGGCATGCCCCAGTTGAAAGCCTGTCAGCAACTCCCCATCACCCAGGAACTGACTTCTTCTGTGTTGTCCCCACAAGCCACCTTCCTGAGGATGACCCCTGTCCACCAAATAGATGCAGGATGTGACTCAGAGCCTCTGAGTTCAAATCCTCTCTTTATACTAACTGGGTGCGATGGTACAAGTCACTTGTCTTCTGACCTTTATCTTCTGTATCCATAAAATGGAACTATCAACACCTTATCCAGAAGGTGGAAATTAAATGAGATAGTACTAACTTTGTCTACTGAGCCCTCTTACTCTGTGGGTCCTGAACTAGGCCTCAGCCGTGCCTGCTGTCATTGTTGTCAGTAATCACACACAGTAAGCAGAGCCTGACTCAGAATGGTGACTCGATCTGTGGAGAGAGAAAGATATCAGGGAGATTGTAGATGGAATCTTCCAAACATGAGTGAGTAGAGAAGTCAGGAAAGTGCTGGATGCTGGACCTTCTCCAGCAGTGGTTTACACACTGAAGGCAGGCATCAGAATCTCCTGGGGGCTTCTTCAAACAGATTTCTGGGCCCCACCCACAACGTTTATGATTCAGTAGGCCTGGGATGAGTCCTGAGAATGTGCGTATCTGACATGTTTCCAGGTGATGCTGCTGCTGGTCCAAAAGCCATACTTTGAGAAACAGCTGGCCTTTGTGACTGGTGCAGCTGAAAGAGTGTTGGCTTTGGACGCAGAGCCTCAAGTTCAAATCCCAGTACTGTCACTTACCAACCATTGTAAGCTATTGACCATTGGACAGTTAAATCAGTGAGTACCTACTGGCCTTTGTGTTCTGCCAGGGACTGCCAGCAGGTGACCACTTCTGAAGCACAAAGTGGGCTCTCAGGAAATGCATTCTCTCTCTCCTCACTTAGCAGACCATTCATCTTAGCCACCCCAAATGGTTTTTTAAAAACATGAGCAGAAGTTCCAGCTCAAACTATCTGGCCCAGGCCGACCCCTATCCTACCCTGACCATCATCAACCCCTCTTGCATCTGTCCCTCCAGGAGGAACCCTTTGTCATGTTCCGCAAGTCCGACAGGACCCTGTACGGGAATGACCGGTTCGAGGGCTACTGCATCGACCTGCTCAAGGAACTGGCTCACATCCTAGGCTTCTCCTACGAGATTCGGCTGGTGGAAGATGGCAAATATGGAGCGCAGGACGACAAGGGCCAATGGAACGGCATGATCAAAGAGCTCATAGATCACGTAAGCTGGGTGGGGCTGTCCGGCGACTTGGAGAAGTGGTACTTATACATCAGGGCAGGCTTCTGGCAGTCAAGGGTCACGGGGCAGGAGACATGAAATGAAGGTCCTGGTCTTGGCTTTACCCTTGTGAATCCTGAGTCAGGGGTGTGCCGCTTGAAGAAGTGTGCCCTAGCTTTCTCAGGGGTGCAGAACCTCCCTGTCCTGTTCATGCTCCCCACAACAGTGAGACATCCTTCCTTGTTAAACCACCATCCCATTGGCATCTTTGAGGTCATCCTCATCTAAGGATTCCCTCAACCCTTTACTTTTTCTGCTCATTTAAGAGTTACCAATGACACTATAGGATAAAGCATAAGACCGCAAGATCAGCTTGAACCGCAAGGTCAGCTGTTCAAATCCACCAACCACTACTTGGAAGCCCTATAGAAGGTCAGAACTGATTCAATGACACTTAACAACAATGGATGTTCCTGTCCCATGGGCTTGGTGCCAATATGAAACCCTGGTACACAGAGCTATATCTCTCACTGTTTTGAGTAACTTTCAGTTCAGTAAAGGAAACAGAGGGCCCAGAGAGCTGAGGACTAGAATGAAGGGATGAGCAGAGCCTAGTGGTGGGGACACCAAATATGTAGCAGCTTTTACTTTGTCTGTGACAGGGAAGGGACCCCAGAGAACACAGAGCTAAAGAAGCAGGCAGTCAGAGCTTTTGGGAGAGGGTGGGAGTAACCTGGGGTTTGTGGGACACCAGGAGGAAGACGGAAGCCACACTCAAGGGGGACCATAGCAGAGGGAATCAGCAGGTCCAAAGTTCAAGTCCAGTCCTTACTCATTAGCTGTGTTACTAGGGGCAAGTCACTGAAGCTGAGTGTTTTCCTAATCTGTAGAATGATGTTTGAATACCCTCTTCTCATAGAATTGTGATATTGTTGTTGTTAGGTGCCATCGAGTTGGTACCGACTCATAGCTTCACCTTCTTCCACCTGACAGTGAGAATACATGCCCTGTGTTCCTCCCGGCTTGTTGTGAGGCTTGGAGGCAGTCACTGGTGGGAGGTAACGTGTAGAGAATAGGATTCGGTATAAACAGAAGGGAGTGGTGTTGTCACCATTATTAGTAATAACTGTAATTATTATGGAAATTAGTCAGCAGGTCCCAGAAACATCTTCATCTAATGTGCTCCCCTTGTGCTTTGAGAGTGGGACTCGCGAGTCTGGGCTCCGGGTGAGTTCTGAGGCTGTCCTTTGCAGAGGTGATGCAGGCTGAGGAGGAAAGGAACCCACAGAGAGAGCGGAGACCATGTACAGAAGCCAGCAGGGTGGATGCTAGCCTAGCCATCAACAGCATCCCCAGTGGTCTGGCAGCACTGAAGAGACATTTTCAAGAGAGTGTTAGCAGCTGCCAGGCCTGCCTCAGTGGGCCCGTGGCTGGGAAGAGGACCAGAGCCTCTTCCCTCGTCCACATGTGGCCAGGTGCTGCTTCAGGCAGTCTGGTATCCATCAAGGCCACCAGCCCTGGCAGGGCCTTGTTAAACTGAATCCCCTACCATTGATGAGCCCATTAATCCTAGCTTGGTGCCATTTTTAATAACATCATAATCATTTATTAGTGTCGTCAGATAATTAGTCTTCTCGCTAGCTCCTGGAGAGCATTGTAAAGGCTTGGCAATATTATTACTTCCTTATTAGTGATCTGAATGTAGACATAAAAGTGATGAATCCCCACCTTTGTAAGGAACTGCCCCCCAAGGCCCATTTGAGGGCCCTGGGCGGAGCCTCTGACCGGCAAGACTTTCATTGTCCTTCTGTGACACCATCTGCACCTCTCTGTCCCATGACCTTCCTAGGAGGACAGGTACCTGGAAAATGCACCTTCCTCCTTCCCCAGGTGACCTCTGATGCTGGGGAGTCTGTACCCCTCACCTATGTCTCCCCGACATCATCGCTCCCTCCATGTTGATGGTCCGCTTTCATTGATCTCTCCTAGCTCTCAAAAGACTCTATTCACATCCATAATTTGAATTACTCCCGTGTGTTTGCATGACTCTGGAGTCCAATCTAAAAAGATTCAAATTTCAAGTCTAGGGCATTTTAGCTGACAGTAGGGAAGCTATCCAGCCTCTCTCGCCTCCGTTTCTATATCCATGAAATGGGGACAAAGGAAGAGTCTCTTGCCTAGGGTTTGTGGGAAGATTAAATGAGATACGACACCAAAAATGCTCCCTGTAGTATGTGCTGACCTGCCCACCAGTGTCCTCTCAGGGAGGACTTGGGGCCGTGTTGAAATTTACCACGGAACTGTCAGCAACCAGATTGGACTCAGTAAGCTGAGTTTGTCCAATCTGGAGTAAGATGTCTGGGAAATGCTGAGCAGGAGGTCAGGCTCCAGACAAACAGATTCATTCTAGGGAGGACAAGGCACAAGACAGTCATATGGTTGAAGGGCTGAAGGGAGTATCAGGACCATTAGAACACTGTGCTGTCTCTGAGGCTAAGGACTGCACACTCACACAATCATTCAGCAAACCTCCACTAAGCACTGTCTTAGCCTGGTTCCTAGAGGCTAACATGCCACTACTTACTTAGAGAGAGTGGGATCCAGGGAAGTGGAGCAGGAAGGAGGGCAAGCCAATACAAGGACGTGTGATCAAGCTGATCCCACTGAGAGTGATCAATGTCTCAGTCTGTGAGTCGGTGCCGCAGAAAAGCCTCACAAAGTCTATTTTGGGATGAGGGGAGGAAGATAGACTGCTTTATTCCCTGGCTCCTGACTGCCATTCCTTTCTAGGTTTGGCACCGTGGGCATGAGAGCCAATCAGGACCTGAAGCCCCAGGGCAGAGTGTGGAGCAGGCGGGTAGTGAGATGCTGTGGGCTATGTCTGGTGGTGTCTGAGTGAAACTAGTCAGAGCCAGAGGCCCAGAAATGGTGCGTGAGAGGCATCTGAGCCCAGCACCAGTGACGTGCCAGACCTGGGGGAGTGGTCTGGGATATGGATGGCGCCAGTCCTGGTGTGGTGCTGTAGGATAATGCGCTGGACCACAAGGTTCATTTGAGATGCAAAGTCAGTGGTCAAACACACCAGACGCTACTCAGAAACCCTATATAGGGTTGCTGTCAGAACTGACTCTATGGCGCATAACAACAACAATAAGTGCCAGCATGAAGTGCCAGCAGAACAAATAAATCTGTGTTTGAAGAGGTACAACCAGAATGCTCCTTAGAAGCCAAGGTGGCCAGAATTCATCTCTCATACTTTGGACATATTATCAGGAGGGGCTAGTCCCTGGAGAAGGACATCATACTTTGTAAAGTGGAGGGTCAAAGAAAAAAAGGAAGACCCACTCCAAAGGATAGATTGACACAGTGGCAGAAGCAATGGGCTCAAACATAACAATTGTGAGGCTGGCAGTGTTTTGTTCTGATGTGCATAAGGTCGTTATGAGTAGGTACCAACTTGATGACACCTAACAACAAAAACAACAACAACAACAAGGTAGACATGGCTGTTGCCCTCCCGGAACAAAGAATGATGAATCACACTTAAAATGTGAATAGTGCTAGAAAGAGGAGTATAGGAATTTTACAAAAAAAGGAAAACCAAAGCCCAAGGCTCCATAGGTGACCAAGAACTTGAATCTTTACAGACGCAGACTGCAGCATCTTTTTCACACATGGCTGATGAATTTGAACCACCCACCTTTTGGTTAATAGTGTAACACTTAACCTGTGTCCAGACATCCCTAAGTCAATGACTCTTAGGCAGAGACTTGAAAAGTGAGGAGGGCTATATGGAGGTTCTTACAACAGAGAAAAGATTGACATTGTCAAGGACTTCATTCTTGGATCAATTGTCAACACTCACAGAAGCTGCAGTCAAGAAATCAAACGACATATTGCATTAGGCAAATCTGCTGCACAAGACCTTTTTAAAGTGTTGAAGAGCAAAGATGTCAGCTTGAGGACTAAGGTGTGCCTGACCCACGCCATGGTATTTTCAATAACCTCATATGCATGTGAAAGCTGGACAGTGAATAAGGAAGACTGCAGAAGAATTGATGCTTTTGAATTATGGTATTGGAGGAGAATACTGAAAGTGCCATGGGCTGCCAAAAGAACCAACAGATCTGTGTTGGAAGAAGTGCAGCCAGAGTGCTCCTTGGAGGCCAAGATGGCCAAACTTCATCTCTCATACTTCAGACATGTTGTCAAGAGGGACCAGTTGTTGGAGAAGGATATCATGCTTGGTAAGGTGGAGGGTGAGAGAAAAAGAGGAAGACCCTCCCAGTGAGATGGATTGGCAAAGTGGCAGCATCAGTGGGCTGAAGCACAGCAACAGTTGTGAGGTTGGCCCAGGATCTGGCAGTGTTTCGTTCTGTTGTGTGCATAGGATCGCTATGAGTCAGTTCCGACTCAGTGGCACCTAACAACAACAACACCACCACCTGGATCAGGGGCTGAATCTGCTGCTGAGCACGTGGCACCTGAAGCTTTGGCAGGACTGTGCAGAGTCTGGGTGGACACCACCCTTGGGGGACACACAGGGAGGAGAAATGGGGATAGAGGTTGTGGACATCCCTCTATAGTGAGCTGTGAAGACATACTGAGCATCCCTAAAGCTGAGAGACCCAGGAACCGGGAAGTTTGTCTCAGGCCTGAGAAAGGCCTACCTGTCATTTCTCATAGTCAGATGTCCATCAGACCAGGAGGTCGTGAGTGAACCACAGGTACATGCCCCACCAGTTGACAACGGATTTTCTAGCACCTGTTCCCCATCTCTGTAAAACGTGTGTGTTGTTCAGAATGCTGCTGCTTTATGACGTTAACAAGGGGCACGGTGCTGATGGTTCCGTTGACAGCGAGTGGGACTTGAGCAGATACCATCCATAACTCAGTGTACCCTCCTGTGTGGCAGGCCCTGAGACAGTACTTGCTGGATGACTGCTTTTAAACCCCAGTAATCCCATTTTGTCCTGATGTGGCGCTGCAGGTTAATGCGCTGGACTGCAAGGTTGGTTTGAACCGTAAGGTCGTGGTTCAAGCTCACCAGCTGCTCCTCGGAAACCCTATCTCGACAGGACTTAACAACAGCAGCAGTCCCACTTGTCAGTATAATTATGAGTATTGATTCAGTACATCTACCAAGTCAGACCTCATGCTATGGACTATGGGATACAGTGGCAAACAAAACAGACAGGATCCTGGCCCTGATGCTCAGGAGTTTATATTCTAGTGGAGGAAACAGACAATAATCTCTGCATATAGGGATAGATGTAACTTACTCAGCCAGCGCGAATGGTCTGAGAGAGGAATGTGGCTGAGCGAAGGAGCGCCCCTGGTTCAATACGGCACTGACCAAGAGGTACCGTGACCAAAGAGCAATCTGGAGCAGCTGCTGACCCATCCCAGTGAATATATAGAGAGACTTGCAGGAAATTGGGGAGCCCCTCAAATGCCTTCCTTGTCCACTTGGTCAGCAGCATTCAGAGAAATCCAGGAGTAGGACTTGAGTCTGGAGTGTGGCAGGAGATGGTCTGTAGGAAAAATCAAGGACTTGGGAAGCTGTCTATCCTCCCCAGACATGGCCATGGCATTGAGGTAACGTGTGTGTGTGTGTGGGGGGGGGGGGGGGGGCGGGGAGTCTAGTGTCAAAGACATGCCACTATCCCCCACTGTGTCCATCTTCCTTCTAGCCATGAACCAAACCTTGCTTCTGGCCTGCATACATTTGGCCCAACCCCTGCTTCTGAAACCACAGAAGGCTTCGCCTGAACCTCAGACTGGTCCAGCACACTTAGAGGCAGAGCATTCTTGGGGCAGGACAGGACCCTGATGAGCAGGCTAGGTGGGGGGCAGGAGAAATGGAGGGACTACTAAAATGGACCCTCCCCGGAGCAGCCAAGTGGCCAAGAGCAGTGAACCTACCTAAGGAAGGTCAGGAGGACAGTTGAGGACTTTCTATGCCAGGGATCCACTGATACTACAGAAGTATAGGGTAACCAGGCTCAGGGGGACCCATTAGTGCACAAAGAGGAATTGACGTCTGGAAAGTATCTGGAAAAAGACAGGCAGAAGGTCAGGACCTAGGCAAATTAGTTTCAGGAAGGATAGCGGTGCTGAGCAGGCAAACTGAGACCACAGCTAAACACACTAGGCTGGGGTAAGGAGAGATTAAGAACCTTGAACATACTTTGGTACTCATCCTTTCAACAAAACTCCATTAAGACCCTACTCTGCTAAGGGGTCCCTGAGTGGTGCAAGCGACTAAGTACTCAACTACTGACTGAAAGGTTAGAGGTTTGAACCCACCAAGAGGTGCCTTGGAAGAAAGACCTGGTGATCAGCTCTCAGTAACTTTGATTTTTATTTATTTATTTATTTTTTACTTTGTGCTGATTAATCCCCGACATTGTGCTAATCCCTAGAGATACATCAGTAAGTAAGACAAGTGTCCCTGCCCTCTTGGCGCTTATATACCAGCAGATATTCTGGATATGTAACACTGATTTGCAAAAACAAATGCAGTTGTAGTGAGAGCGCTGAGGAGCAGTACTGGGGACTATGGGAGTATGTAGCCAGTCTGCAGAGGGAAGCCTTGTGCCCCAGCTCCCTTGGGCTTTACTAGGGCAGTCTACACTAGGGTGTTGATGAGAACTTTTGGTGATAGGAAATGGGCGCAGGGTTTGTGAAGCAAGTAGACTTGCGAAACCTTCCTGAAAGCCAGCCGCACCAGAGGAACCTGCTGTGGCTGGGGAATCTGGCTGCTCTCTCAGCCCAGGAAAAGCACACAGGGCTCCTCTCTGCCTGTTATGAGGTTGCTGTCAGCTCAGGAAGCTGGCCTGTGAAAGACAAGCGGTAGGAGTTGGACCATGAACTGACACACATTTTCTAGCACAGGATTTGTTAGGCTAATGTCCTGGCCTTTCAAAATGCTCTTTTTTTTTTTTTTTTTTTTTTTCTTTAAGGTTTTTATTTTGAATTGAAAGAAAGTTTACAGGGCAAATCATCAG